AGATATCCATACTTTGAATGAATCACTGTTCAATATCCTTTCGCTATTATTTAAAAAAAAATTTTCGCAAACTTTTACAGAAGTGGAGTTCACCCAAATGTGATAAAAGCAATACGAAAAGCCGACCAAATAAAACGCGTTATTTTCATTGCTTGTGACGCGGAAGCGGCAAAAGCGAATTTTATAAAGTAAGTGATAAGTGGGTTCGGGAAACTGTTACGTGATAGTACTAATGTTTATTTCTAAAATTAATTTGCATAATTATTTTAAAGTCTCTGTCGTCCTAGCTCTAATTCATTCGTAGGTAAACCGTTCACACCGAAAAAAGCTCTTCCGTTTGATTTGTTTCCACATACTTTGCACTGCGAGTTGCTGTTATCTTTTGAACGATAATCGAAAACATACCAAGTTAACTTACCAAATACATATACCGATAGCATTACAAAGTAATGCATTATCTGAATTAAAATTTTAAGTAATAACTTTTTTAAAAAACATGATTTTATTAATTTATTGATAAAAAACATGTTATTTTCAAAATTAAATAACGATAATAAAACAAACTTTTAATTAATACAGTGGTGCTCGATTCTTGTAATTTATTTTTGTATAGACCGCAATTATCTACAGTCGTTAGTTATAACTTATTTATAACCGTAGTATAGCATTTATTCTCGAACTTTCCCGCATGTACTCAATGAAATTTATTAATAAAAACTCGCCCTGACGATCTTTATATACTCTATTGTAAATAAAGAGATCATTGATCAGATTTTCGTGATGCGATTAATGTAATTTCCCCAAAAGCGTATTCCAAATCGATCCTGCAAATTATACAAAAAGGTGATGTCCTGGCTAGTGAATCCTTTTATCTGCCTTGCATAAGAAAAGCAAAAATAGGATGAAATTAATCAAACCAATCTAACTTACCATTATTTGCATCATCGATATTTATAATCAAACAAACTCGTATATTCCGCAAAATAATAATAATTATTTGGCTAGTTTATTGAAACATGTCTTCACGATGCTAATCGATTTTCCTGCCTCTACAGATGTCCCAAAATAAAACGGACATATTATTCTTCTTGATATATATCAGCATTTTGAGATTGATGTTCGTCACATGCTTTATATCAAACATCTGGCGCAGTAAATCAAACAATTCCAAAAATGAAGTATAATGATAAGTGTGAAATGAAATGAATTATTAGTGTATTGTTTATTTTTTATCAAAAATTATGGGAATATACTTATTTATTCTCTGGTACTATAGGTTCGAAATTAATTCATCATGAAATAGTTCTCTTGTAAAATTTAATCTTTTACATAATCTATATGAATAGAAGTAAAAAGGATGATATACAGTCCCCGGCGAAAGTAATGGCGCTGAACGTTTTCGCCTATATTTTAACAATGAAGCGTCCAAAACTCATGAAATTTGTAGATATATTCTTTAGGATATTGTGAACAAGGTTCTCTAATAGCACAAGGTATGTTAGCTTAATAAAATTTTGTGGAATTTTGCGTCAAATGTGGTGGATTAGGTGTTTACATGAAATAACTTTGAAAAAAAATTATTTAAAAATATTTTTAATAAGTAATTTTGAAAATATTTTTGTAAAAATATATTTTAAGATATAAAGAATAT